GTCTTTTCTATTCGAGGATTTTGAGCAAAACTTGACAGTTATTGAAAAAAGAAACTGCATTGTACCCGCTTAATCATCACAGCCAAACCCTAATTATCGTTTCTTTCCTGGAGCAAAAAGATATTGGAATTGCGGTGGTACGGTAGGCAATAAATTCTCTGGTATAGTATAATTCTTGGCAAAATTTGCAATCTAAAAGAAAAAAAAAATTATTTAAGTGTATACATAAACAAGGAGTAAAGAGTCAAAAAACAAATAAGTCAAAAAGTAAATAAACAACGCACCAAATGGTTTTGATATTTCTCAAAAAAAAAAAATTGACTAATTTCTAAATTTATGTTTTTTTTTCCCAATTTTTTCTTTTTTTTTAATTTCATTTTTTTTTTCAATCATTAAATATTTGGAAATAAACGAAAATTTTTGAAAATTCCACAAACTTCTTTTCCACTCTTTTTTACTGAAATTAAACTTCTTTTCCACTCTTTTTTACTGAAATTAAACTTCTTTTCCACTCTTTTTTACTGAAATTAAACTTCTTTTCCACTCTTTTTTACTAAAATTGTTTTAAGTTTAGAAAAAGAATTATTTTATTAAATTTAATCTAATAGAATAAATTTTAAAATTAAACCTGTTCTTTGAGAGCATCCAATGCACCACCTGTATTTACCCATCGTTGTAACCTTTGTAAATTATCAATACCAATCGTCCGATCGATATGACCAAGTAATTTAGCTTGACTATCCAATTTTTCGCTACCTAATGCAACCTAAAATTACGAATTATTTTTAATTATTCATAGTAAAATATATTTATATACAAAGAAATGGTAATATTGTATTACCGTATAGATGCAACCATCAGTAAACGATAATGGATAGCATACTATACTCTTAATAATACAGTACTATTTATGATTGTATTTAGTGGAATAATTGATGCAATTAGCGTAATTGATTAAATAATATTTGATTATCTTCTTAAAAAGGAAACAATGTGAACAGAAGAAATAAAAAATTGATGTGATAAATTTTGATAACGGATTAAGTTTTTACACGATAATTTAATAAATTTTAGAAATTGAAAAAAAAAAAGATATATATTAAAGAGAAAGATTTACTTCCAAAATATCAATAGCAGCGGATTCAATTGGTGTACCCTGTTCAAAATGATTAATTGCCTGATTGAAACCAATATCTGCTTTATTTAGAATATTAAATAATGCTGATGGTTTAATCTAAAAAAAATTAAAATAAAACAAAAAATTGAGAAGATGAGAGATTTCATATAAAATTAAGAAATGAGAGATTTTATGTATGAATTTTTTAAAAAAAGCAATGGAAATTTTAAAGCTCTAAAAGCTAGCAAAAAATGTTGAAATCTGAATTTATATAAAAGAATTTCTAAATTTGTATAATTTGAATTCATATAATCGAGTTTTTAAATTTTTGCAATTGAATTCCTAAGCTCGTATAATTGAATTTCTAAATTCCTATAATTGAATTTTTAAAATCTTGTAATTGAATTTTTAAATTCGTATAATTGAATTTTTAAATTCATATAATTTATCAATATGACAAAAAAAAGGAGAAAAAATAAATTTTTTTTTTCCATATAACACCGTGTAAAGTTTGCTTGAATTTAGCATGTTTATGTTTTTTTTTTTTTTCGTTTTAAATCATAAATGACGAAGAAATAATTAATTTGTTAAGGTTAACTTTGCTAACAGTACATTAAGAAGATTATCAAACTAAATGACCATTAAGAAAAAAAATGATAATTGAAGATATAATAAATGATAAAATGATTAAATCGTAAATTTCATTTAATTGATAATAATCATACAATTCCTTTATCATATCATATCCTTATTTCTGATATTTTTCAAAATTTATATTATTTGAAGAAAAACTTTTTTTTTTATTTTTATTTTTCAGCGAATTATTTGCAATGTTTTTCTTTTTTTTCTTTTTAATAAGAATTAAAATATTAATATTTTTATTTAAATGAAGCAAAAAAAAAAAAAAACAAAAGAAAGAAAGCAAACGGACTGTTGTAGGTGGATTTTGTGTTTGATGATAATGATCTGATAATGTTGGTAAAATACCAGCTGCAGCACCACCAATTCCAACTGCTGGTACCGGTGGTGGTATAGCTGCACCGGATGGAATTGGTGGACCAAGACCATCACCGGTTGGACCAAATCGATTTGGTGTCAATGCTGAATCACCGGTGAATATCGATTCTTCGATTTTATTATCTTAATAATATATTAATTGCATAAACATATGTAATGAAATACATTTACAAATGTAATTAATTAATTAATTAGCTAATTAATTGAAATTTTTTATTACAACTATTCTTTACTAATTTTATGGTTCTGTTTTTAATTTTTATGATCAGACTTTTCTTCTTTTTTTAAGCTCTAAAGTTATAAAAAAATATTTAGAATTATAAAAAAAAAAAGTATCAAAATTACCGGATCCTGTTTGTGTTCCATGAAATGTACCACCTAATATTGCTCCACCTTTTCCTGTTCCAAATTCACCATCAAAATCGGAAGGTGGTAATGCAGGAATCAATCCAGAATTTTTTAATACTGATTGTGAATTAGCCGGTGATGATAGACTAAAATATTCCATTGGTTGTGATGATGATTTCAACAATGTTTTTTCAATCGGTGAATTCGTACTACCAATTCGTTCCGTTATCATTTCTGTTGTTTTAAAATCTGTTGATATGCTAAAATTTCAATATTTTCAAATAAAAATTCCCAGAAATAATACTAAAGAATTGTTAATTTTTTCAATTCTGATATTTTTAAGTAAAAATTTTATAAAAAAGTAATTTTTGATCTCTACAAAAAAAAAAAAAAAATTAATTAGAAATAGAATACAATTAAGAAAAAAAAAAAAAAGAAAATCGTACTTATCAGGATCATCTGTTGATTGCATATGAGTGTTGCTACCAAATACGCTTACAATCGGTTGACTAAAATCAACCGGTGGTGGTTTACCGCCACCAAATTCCACTAAATCATATTCATCAATTGGATTTTTACCATTACCAAATCCTGCATTATTTGTTTCAATTTTACCAAATTCTGATTTAAATTCAATCGATTTATCTAAATTATCAAATCCGGTTGTCGTATTAAAACCATTCGAACTAGTTGTTGCAACACCAAATATACCATTTGAACCACTTGAAAGACCTAAAAAAAAAGGTAAAGATGGAGAGACGATCGAAGATTTAGAAATTCAAATTCAGTCTTTGTATTTGCTTACATTTTAAATTTCAAAACTCTTGAAAAAAGTTCAATGAACAATTTAGAAATTTCAAAATTTTTGGAGGAGTTCAAAGAACAATTTAGTTTTTCCAAATGGCATAAATTTTTGATATGATACGAAGGTGATAGAACTACAAAAAAGCATGACTTATATTGTTCACATATATCTTATCATAACTTATTATCTTATCACGCCTACTTACTTTCTCATTTCTATCATATATAAACACATATCTCATTATATCTTATTATCTTACATACTTGTTTACATTTTGATTATCGTTTTTTATACAGACAACACATCACAACTTATTATCTTATCATATCTGTTTACGCTTTAATTATTCCTTTATATAAACAATATATCACAATTTATTATCTTATCATATCAGTTTACTTTCCAATTATTCCTTTATATAAACAACACGTCACAATTTATTATCTTATCATATCAGTTTACTTTTTGATTATCCCTTTATATAGACAACACATCACAATTTATTGCCTTGTCATATCTGTTTACTTTTTAATTATCCCTTTACATAGATAACACATCGTAATTTATTATCTTATCATATCTGTTTACTTTTTAATTATTCCTTTATATAAACAACACATCACAATTTATTATCATATCATATCTTTTTACTTTCTTATTTCATTCCTGATACAGACACATACCCTATCATATCTTATTATTTTATCACATCTATTTTATCTTCTCATTTTCTTTTTACGATGAAATTTACAATTATTGTTACATTAATATTGGAAACATGAAATAAATAAAATAAAATAGGTTATTCTTTCATAAAAATTTAGCACACAAACTTTCCTAACATTTATTATCTCTCTCTCTCTCTCTCTCTCTCTCTCTCTCTCTCTCTCTCTCTTGCCCATTCTTATTCTTACCACATTATCTTTTATTACTATCTTTCATCAAACTATTCTAATTTCCTAATCCTTTGACCTCTTTTTTCTTGCTATCTTTAAATTCGTTAATTAGGAATAATTTATATTTGAGCAACAATTATGAATCATAATATTACAATCATTTCAATTAGTAATTTTAAATGTTATTTTTAAAAATTTTGAATAAAATTGAAATTTATGAGAAAATTTTTCAAATAATTTCAACAATTATTACTAACTAACCATTTGCATTTGTGTCGTCTAAATTTGCTTGTCCAATTTCATTTTCAAAATTTAATGGTTCAAGTTGAGGTAATGTAATTGGATTTCGTCCAAAAGCTGTTTGATTACCTCTTAAAGGTCCTTTCTCATCTTAAAATTAAAATTAAATAAATATGAAAAAAAAAAAGTGCAAAGATAATAAAAAAAAAACAAAATTATATTATGCTAACATAAATAATTATATTAATTATGTAATTACTAATTATGATAAAATGATAATATCAATAAATCATTTATGATAATATGTAGAAAATTTATATAAAATACAATTTTTTTTGTCCCCTTTTTAATCCATTTATTAATTTTGTGTTAAATCCTTAAATTTCAAAGAAAAATTTTAAACTTAAATTTTTAGTAATTGCAAAATTTAAAATGAAAAACATTTATAAATTGTTAATATTTGTTAATCGATTAAATTATTAAAATGATAATATAATTTGTTGAATATTAAATCGATATGTATTACTGTCATATAGATTAGATGAGAAAATATAAACTTTATTGATATGTTTCATTTATATGTAAAATACAAAAGTTTCAAATGTAAATTTTATTACAATCAAATTTAAATTACTTT